GTCCAGGAAGCACTGGTGTAAGGTACACCTCTGGACCACTGGTCAAAAGGTAGATAAAAGTGTGAGGCAACAGAACAGAGGAATTTCTTAGAAATGCCTGTCAGAGGCTGGGTGCGGCAGCAGGCCTGTAGTCCTGGCATCAGAAGACTGATTCAGGAAGACAAGAGTTCAAGGCAAGTCTGGGTGATACAGTGAGCTCTAGGATGGCGTGGGCAAGTCTGGGTGATACAGTGAGCTCTAGGATGGCGTGGGCAAGTCTGGGTGATACAGTGAGCTCTAGGATGGCGTGGGCTCCATATTGGTAAGTATCCTGTTTCAAATATAAAAAAAGTAGAGCTCTAGGATGGCGTGGGCTCCATATTGGTAAGTATCCTGTTTCAAATATAAAAAAAGTAAGATGGTTTGGAAAAAATAATTACTATCCACAACCAACATTATAGGGTTATAGGATTCTCTTCTTTTTTAAAAAATGGGGTCCCACTATGCAGCCCTGGCTAGCCTGGAGTTCACGGTGGAGACCAACTAGGCTGGCTGCCTCTGCCTCCTGAGTGCTGGGATTGAAGGTGTGTCACCACACCAGAGCCTAGGAAAGCTTCTCTCTCTTTTAAAATTATTTATATGGGGTGGAGGCGGCATATGTGCCATAACAAGTACATGGAAGTCAGGAGACAACTTGGCGGAATAGGTTTTCTTCTTCCACCTTTATGGGGTTTCAGGTTTTCGAAGCAAACACCTTGTGCCATCTTACCAACCACCACTTAAGAAATCCCCCAATACCATTCAATTAGGTCAACTCCAATACTTAAGTCTCACTCCCAATATCATTCAATTAGGTAAACTCCAAATATAAATATCAGCTCAGTAGAGAGAACGCTACTCTCTGGGTGTCACTTGGGAGGAACACAATCTAGAGTCTTTGTACTGGTGCTAAATACGTTCAAGGTAAGTCTGCAATAAATTTCACTTGTTAAGAGGCTTTTCACTTATTAAGTGCCATTTGAAAACCTTCACAGAACAGATACTTAGAGTTGTATAATCAAAACCCAGAACCCAAATTACCTGTTAAATTCTTAGCAACTAAACTGGGACTAGTCCCCAGATCGATCGCCTGGCCCCCAAGACCACACTTTCCAGGAAACTTCCAGTGAGTTCTTGCTGATTGCTTCTCCCGACCTCCCTAAAATCATAAAACAATGTCCAAGTACTTCCTGCTCCTCAGGCAAGTGGATCCCTGGTTAATCTGCAACCGACAAATCTTTGTTTCAGGAAGCACAGGTTAGCACTCTGTGAACTAATCAATCTTCCACGTATGGGGCTTAGGGTTCCTTTTTACTAATTAGCTATTCTCTATATTCATGAAATACTAAGGAAGCTTTTTTTTTGCTTCTCTATAGAATAGACAACATCTTTAAATGGTTCTTTATTTAGTGTCTGCGCGTGCATGTGTGTGCATGCGTGCCTGAATGTGCTCAAGTGCACACACACACACACACACACACACACACATACACACACACACTCTTGAGGTGAGAGGACAAGCTGTGAGAAGTCAGTTCTCCTATGTGGGACTCAGGTCACCAGGCTTAGTGGCAAGCACCTTTACAAGTCAACAATCAAGTTCTTTATGTAGTTATATAAATAAGCCATGTTTGAATAGTCTGTACTCTGTAAAGTTGATGACACAGTAACAAAATGTCCTTCTACTTCCTTCCTTGGACTGAGAAAATCTTTAGACAAAAGGTGCCGCTAATCAAAAAGACAACATCAAGTTGGTGAGGAAGTAATAAAGAGAATGCCTGAAATAGCTCTGACTGAATAAGGAAGAGGAAGAAGACAGGACAGATTGGAAGGGGAGAAGGATGTAAGAGTATAATTGTGTCACGTCCACCCTCGACCAGCAAGGAAAAACACAACAGCCAGAGCTCTTTTTGCAGCAGTTTTCAGGACCTTATTCACAGCAATCTATCTCCTCCTTCTCTTTCTCTTTCTCTCTCTCTCTCTGGGCAAACCTCTCCCAGCCCTTAAGTAGGCATGGGCTGCCAACCCTGAACTGCCAGGTGGGCACTGCCCATAGGTTCACGCATATGCAGGCAGCTGATAATCATTGCGTGATCATAGCATAGGTCAGGCCTTAGCCATCTCAGGAGTTGATTATACATCTCCATCAGGTGTGACACCACGCAGCTTGCTACATAATTGTTCACAAACACTAACTTTATTCAGGTTTTTTGTTGTTGTTGTTTTTTTTTTTTTTGAGACAAGGTCTCTACATAGCCCTGGCTGTACTAGAACTTGCTATGTAGACCAGGCTAGCCTTGAACTCACAGAGATCCGCCTGCCTCTGCCTCCTGAAGGCTGGGACTAAAGGCACACGCCCAGCCCAGCGGTAACTCTGTTTTAGACTGTGAAATGCCAAGATTCATAGGAGAAGCATTAAGGGAATGGCAACTTTTGTAACCACATGTAGAGATAAACAGCAAAACTGGATTCTTTAAATTCTTCCTAGAAAAATTGCAGCAAGAAAAACCCTAAAAGTCTCTTTTTCTTTTCTTTTTTTATTTTCGAGACAGGGTTTCTCCGTAGCTTTTGGTTCCTGTCCTGGAACTAGCTCCTGTAGACCAGGCTGGCCTCGAACTCACAGAGAGCCGCCTGCCTCTACCTCCCAAGTGCTGGGATTAAAGGTATGCGCCACCACCGCCCAGCAAAAGTCTCTTCTTTTAAGACAGTGCCTGGTGTCTTTATTTTCAGGCATTATAGTGTCCCACAGCACTATAGAGTGTGCCTTGCATTAACCTGCATAACAAAGAACATAGCTTTGTCTCACTAGCAATGACATCTGAGTTGCTTCTTCGCTTTGTCTCTTGCCACGGAAGGTCGATTCTGTAAAAACAAGTATTAATCTTGCAACATGCAAGAAAGGTAAAGGTATAAACAGGTTTTTCCACACTTTCTCCCAAGCCATAAAGGTACTACACCTGGTATAGGTGTGTGATTAAATTCACTTAAAGGTGTGAACTTAAGCCCTGATGCCCCTTCACCCAAGACAGGGTGATGCTCAACAGTTTAGTGACATTAGAATCTGCAACTGGAGCTTATCAGAAAGGGCAATAATTCTCAAGTGGAATTTCTTAACTTTTGTAGGTGTTCTACTTGTGAATTTATTGTCGAGAGGGGACAGAGCCACTGACAGAAGAAACGGTGTTTCCCAAACTGTTCCCAGGGACTCTATATTCAGACCTCTTATTTCAGAAAGACACGACCTTCCCACCATTCTCTGCTTTCCTTCAAGTCAAAAACTGACCGTAGTAAAATAGTTCAAAACACTCAAAAACAGGCTGGGTGTAAAGGTATAGTCTTTAATCCTAGCGCCAGGGAAGCAGAGACCAACAAAGCTCTGCAAATTCAAGGCTAGCCTGGTCTACAGTGTGAGCCCCTTAGAACAAATCAAGAGACAAATAAAAAGCCCAAGCCAACTCAGTATTGTTCCAATTTTAATATGTGCTGCCGAAGTGAGCACCCAACCCAACTCAGGAACACTGCAGCCACATAAATAGTTGTGAACTTACTATATTAACAAGCTTGGGGATTAGGGGGAAAAAGTCCTCACGTAATTCTTGTCACCAGCAGATACCAAAGGACAACTGGACTGCAGAAATGGCAATTCACATCCCAAGGACAGTACTGGGCAGAGGGGGAAAAGACCACGGAATGGGGATGTGATCTTATCAATGACCGCCTACACTGCAAGAGCCTAGTTGGTTTCCGGGCTACAAACCCTCTTTTCCATCTGTCCAGCACTGCATTATCAGATTCCTATCTACAATTCCACTTACAAGGAATTTCTCAAGAAGTTTCAAGGACTCTCAACTACCTATCACATTAAGTTTAAACTCCTCAACTTTTAGTCTTCTGTAAGATATCTACCTGCTCAACTGCTTCACACGAACTGTGGTCTCCCTTTGCTAACCCTGTTTTGGAGGCACAAGGATCCAAGCCTAATTCAATTACTTATTCTCCAATTGAAACGCAATCCCTCTATCGTCAGAGAAAAGTCACTAGCTCTCATGATATCCTTTTAGCATCAGCTTCCCCAGCAAATGGCATGCACATCCCAAGTGTTTTCGAAATCACCATTCCAAACAGCTGCTCATACTTCCAGCTCCCCTTTGGTGGCAGGCAAGCCGTGGTTTGCAGTTCGGACATGGGAGTCCCTTGTAGGAAAGGGAGAGAGGGCTGGACAGTTTCAAGCTGTGAAGGGAAAGACTAAAGGAGGCAAAAGTGAAAGGTCTGGGCTCTGCACTTTCCGCCCGTTCTTTGGGAAGAGTGGAGAAGCGACAGCAGAGCCAAAGAGGCAAACTCCTGAGGAAGGTCAGAAGAAACCCGTGGTGCTCTGGAGGTAGGTCATATGGGGTAGGGGTCCTGAATCAAGGAAAAGAACCGTCATCCTCGGGAGAAGGGACTGGTTACAAACAACGTGAAACAAAGGGGCTGGCAGTCGCAAAGTGAGAGGATGGGATATGAGAGATCCGGGGATCTCCGGAGGGCGAATGGCAAGAACACGAAAGGGGACACGACACGTCCCTCCGAAGACCCGCCGAGGACGTGGTTGCTAAGAGGGACGAGACAGGTGCGGATGAAGGCTGAGGAGCCAGCGTCTCCCCGGCTTCGCTTCTAAAGGGCGCGGGGGCGGGGAAGTGGTTTTGAGTGGGATCGCGTCCCCAAGCGAGACTCGGTTCCCAGGGCAGTGCTCTCCAAGAACGGAGATCCGGGCCATGAGGAAACCGTTGAGGCACCGGCATTTCCCAGCCCCAGCTCGGCTTCCCCAACACACTCACCGCGTCTGCTCCAAACGCCACCGCTCCAGCTGCAGCTACCGGCCGGCGCAGCCGCACTGAGCGCGCACTGCCCACGTGACCCGCGGGCTGGTCACCCACGTGACCAGCAGAGCCCGCCCCCACCCCACCCCCTCCGGGCGTTCTCCTCCGTGCGGCGCGGTCTGACCCCGCCCTCGGCAAGATGGCGGCGCCCAGGTTGGGTACGCCTGGTCTCCGGGTCCTGAGTGGGACGTCGCGTCCCGGGAGACCGTTCATTCCCGGATCCAAGCCGTTTTGTTCCAGCGCTTCTACCTCTAGGCCCCTGAATGCTCAGAGATTGGCGGAGAAGCTCCGAGCCCAGAAACAAGAGCAAAAGACGAAGAAAATGCCGGTGAGCCTGGGAAGACCACAACTCCCAAGAGGCAATGCTCTCAGGATTTCCCAGGTGTGGGGTGCGGTAGGCAGGTTCTGTATCTGCCGGTAAGACAGTGTTGGGGGATATACAGTGTGATAGTCGGAATACCGCTGAGCAAAAAGGACAGTGCTTGCACAGTGTCTTTGTGGGCACTTTTGCTACTGCCAGGCTCAGACCCAAGCACCGCGTGGGTATGTAGGTGAGCTAGATAGCGATATATGATCCCAAAGGAAGGCATGAATCTAATTCTGCAACACAGCCATTTCCCGCACGAATTTTCACTTAAATCTCATTTAGGCCACCCCCAGAGCTTCGCTTCCTCATTAAGATTTTGCCGCCCTTCTCTCTCCTTAGGGCTCTACAAACCTTGTTCAGCGGAGGGTGCAGGAACTCGTGCGATTCACGCAGCAGCTACAGCGAGTTCACCCCAATGTGCTTGCTAAGGAACTGAGCCGAGGGATTCTCCACCAGGACAAGGACATTGTGGTCATTAATAAACCCTATGGTCTCCCTGTCCACGGTAAGAACCACGTGGGCAAAGGAAAGGAACCTGCTGCTGCTTCTACAGCTAACGGTACCTCTGAAGCCTTACTTACATGTGAGGCATTCTTGAATTCAAGTTAATTAAACCTTTGTACAGTATTATCCCTTGTATATGACTACTGGTAACACAAACCAGTGCCTAGTCCCCACTTCCACATATTTGACAGTGGGCTGTATGCCTCCCACAGGGATTATTGCAGAGAAATACAAACGCTGAATTCTGACTGTGGGCTGTATGCAGCCTCCCACACAGATTGTTGCCGAGAGATACAAAAAGCCGTTTGCTGACAGTTTAATGGTTATTTTCTATCAAAACGGGGGAGAGGGAGAAAAGCTGGGTGCTAGTGTGCAGCTGTCATCCCAGGTCTAGGAGAGTCTGAGGCAGGAGGATCAGGTGTTCAGACCAGTCTCAGCTACTGCAAAACCTCATTTCAAAATGAGAGAGCTAGAGAAACAAGAACAAACAAAACTGGGAAAGAGGAAATAATATAAGAGGGGGGATGTGTTTGTGTTTAGGACTATACCTAACGTGAAACCCCAAAGTGTCAGGATCTTAATGGATGTCCTGAGTCTGTTGAATGCCGTGATGAGGGACAGCTAAAGGGAGACAGAACTGAAAAAAAGAACAATAGGGAATATCAAAGACTTACAGGGGGAAAATAAATATTTTAGCTAAAAGTATTTTGGTTGAAATAAATAACTCCTTTGGTGGCAGTACAGAGAAGTAAAATAGGCCTTGCCAAATGCATTCTGTGATTTTTTTCCCCCTCTTGATTTCCTAACAGGTTTTTTTCCTTACTATTCTCTGATGAGGTTTTTGGTTGTTTGTGTTAATTTTTTAAAGGTATTTTTAGATAACAAAGCAGAGTTGGAGAGATAGTGATCTATCTTTGGTCTAATGACGAGTACAAAGAGTAAAATCTAGGAATATCTGTTCTCAGAGCCCCTCACCTTAACCTTTCTTCTATAATGGCTCAGTATAGCCTCCCAGTCCCACAAAACCAGAAGAGAAAGCCACAGTTTTGTCCAGACTTCAGTTACTTTTGAGTCCTTGGGATGCTTGTTAAAATAGGAGTTCTGACTTAGTAGTCTCAACTGGAGACCTCGAGTTCATTTTATAGCTAGTGAGATCTCTAGGCCTATTATTGTTAGTAACCCCTGCCATGTTTTCATAGCACAACTGTAGAAAATGGGGACAATTTCTTACTCAGTAAGGATTGGTCTCTCAAGAAGAGTTCCTCTGGCTCTTTCCTTCCTAGGTGGCCCTGGAGTCCAGCTCTGCATCAGTGATGTACTGCCCATCCTGGCAAAGATGCTTTGTGGCCACAAGGCAGAGCCTTTGCATCTGTGCCACCGTCTGGACAAAGAAACCACGGGTGTAATGGTGCTGGCTTGGGAGCAGGATATGGCACATCAAGTCCAGGAGTTGTTTAGAGCCCGCCAGGTGGAGAAAAAGTACTGGTATGGGCCTGTTAGTGGAATAAATGAGGGCCTCTCTTTTGTCTGTGTGCTGTACTACAGGGACTATTAATAGAAGGCATTGTACTAGGACTCAAGAGGATATAAAGAGTCTATGAAGTACTGAGAATACTGAATGATAAAATAGTCCATGTCTATGTGCATGTATGTATGACTGTGTGTGCATGCACACTCATGTATACATGTGGAGGTCAAGTAGGACGTCAGACTTCATTCTCAATCACTCCTTATTTTATTTTATTGAGCTAGGGTATCCCTCTGAACCTGGAATTCACTGATTGGTTAGACTAGCTGAAAAGTTAGCTTCCAGGCTGTGCCTGGCTCTGCCCCCTTACAGATGTTCACTGCTGTACTAGGCTTAGCATGTCTGCTTGAGCCCAAGCTCAGTACCATGCATGTGCAGCCAGCTGAGCTATCTCCTCAATCCTTTTGTTTGGCTGCTGTTGAGATGAAGTTTTACTTTGTACCTTTGGCTGGCCTGGAACTTGCTACATAAACCAGGATGGCTTTGAACTCTTATCTCTCTCTCTCTCTTTCTCTCTCTCCTTACCTACCTATTTACCTATCGGTCATCTATTTATCTACCTACCTACGTACCTATCATTCATCTGTTTATTTACCTATCTACCTACTTACCTATCATTCATCTATCTGTCTGTCTATTTACCTATCAATCTCTTTGTCTACCTACCTACCTACCTACCTACCTACCTATCATTCATCTGTCTGTCTGTCTGTCTGTCTGTCTATCTATCTATCTATCTATCTATCTATCTATCTATCTATCTATCTCTGCTTCCCAAATGCTGGGTAGAAAGACCTGCACCATTATACCCAGTGCTGTTTTTTAAATATTTATTTATTTGTGTTTCTATGTGTTTTTGTATGCATTTAGCCACATGCTTACCACTGTGCATGTGTGGAAATCAGGACAACTTGGAGTCAGTTCTCTCCTTCCATCATTCGAGCGCCAGAGGTCAAATCTTTATCTGCTGTGCCATCTCAGTGGCCTCTGATTTGAGACTGGGTCTCAGATAGCCCAGGCTAACCTTGAACTGCTCATCCTCCTGCTGGGATCATCACCACACCCTGTTCCGTAGCAGGTTTTTAAGATATATCCCTTTAAAAATAGGATTGCAGATTTGAATGATATGCATGCTTAAAATGTTTTATCATTTTTTGAAATTTATCTTTATTTCATGCGTATGTGGGGGATTTGGTTTGTGCACCATAGTCATGCAGATGCTGTGGAGGCCAGAGAAGGGCACTGGGTCCTCTGGAACTGGAATTGCAGATGGTTGTTAGCCGCCACGTGGGTGCAAGGAGTTGAATGTACATCCACTCGAAGCCCAGTCAGTGCTCTTAACCTCTGAGCTGTCTCTCAAGCCTCGTGTGTAAAAATTTGATAGTATTAAACTGATGCCCTAAATAGTTGTGTCAGTTTCCACTCTCACCAGTGGTGAGCACACACACCTCAAGTTATTTTAAAAAGCCACCCAGATAGGGGTTTTGTGTTAATTTGTTTGAATTTCCCTTTCTGAGAATAGACTATTTTTCCTAGGCTATTTTCCTATTGGGTTATGATTTAAATTTGATTTATAAATTTCATTCTATGCTTTGGTTATACAGTCCTTTTTTGTTTTAGAAATTGTTTGTGCATTAACTTTGTGATCAAGGGGGCCCTTTAAAAATTTGATATGGGAGGTGGGTGGTGGCGGCGCACTCCTTTAATCCCAGCACTAGGGAGGTAGAAGCAGGCAGATCTCTGTGACTTCGAGGTCAGCCTGTTCTACAGAGCAAGTTCCAGGACAGAAAGAAACCAAAAATTAAAGTCTCAAGAATTAAACCAAACCAAAACAAAATAAAAACAAACAAAAACTGGTGAGGGACCTGTAGAGGTGGCTCATGATTAAGACCACTTGCTACTTTCAGACATCTGAGTTTGGATCCCAGTACCCACAATAGGCAGCTCACAACCACTTGTAACTCGAGCTTAAGGGGACCTATCTCTGGCCTCTGTGGGTACCTGCACTCATATGACAGATGCAGCATACCGAAATAAAAGTATTTTTTTTCTTTTGAAAATCTATTTATCTCTGGCCCATCCACAATGGTTCTCATTCATATCTAGTAGCTGTGGATTTGGCATCTGTATCTTTTAAAGTTTCCAAAAGCTTAGTGATAGAGCTAGGGCATCTAATATGCCTGAAGCCCCAAGTTTGGTCCTCGTACTAAGTATAGCAAGTTCCATAAATAACTAGAATGTGCAGTCAGATTTAAGAGCTACTGGAATAGTTGGGGACGCTCCCATATGATTTTCATGATGTAGCGCCTAGCCTGACAGCTGGATACTTCTAAGCTGAAGTTTTCTAAGCTAAAGTTGTACATATTGATTGTAGAATACTTTGAGAAAAAAATTAGATGATCTTGCACCAATATGTACAGTTAAAGGAAAATTGAGGAAGTAAGATTTTGTATCCCATTTCTCTTTTGATTGATTATAAATAGTCATTTGGGGTGGAGGGCAGGTGGGGGGTTGGGGGAGATGGGTAGAATCAGGATGCATGATGTGAAAACCACAAAGAATCAATGAAAGTTAATAAAATAAATAACTAGTAGTGGGTTCTAATCACATACTACGCAAAATAATGTGGCTGGGTGACAGAATGGATATGGTAAAAACTCACAGGACTGTCCCTCTACTCGTTAGTCAAAGAAGTCATGAAACCACAGCCATCATTCAGTGGCCCATTTTAGATCTCTTTTACATAGAAAAGAAGTTGCAAAAATGGTAGTAAAGATGGTCCATTGTGAGGTCTTAAGTGTCTAACTCCCAGCAGTCCCTCTCTGATTTTTGTGACTCAGGCAGCAATCTGTGTGTCACCCCCAGGGCCATCACTGTGCGTACCCCCTTGCCCTCGGCAGGAATCATAGATATCCCGATTGTGGAGAAGAAAGTGCAAGGCCAGCAGCTACACCACAAGGTAGGGGAGCCGCCTCCCTGAGGCATGGGTTTCTGTCTTTTCCTAGGAATCATATCTTGATTTCTCTGGCTGCAGATGACACTGGCCCCGAGTTACCGTATGGACAATGGAAAAATGGTAAAGGTGCGGGCTAACCGGGACGCCCATGTTGCTGTCACTCAGTACCAGGTGCTCTGCAGCAACCCCTCTTCCGCCCTCGTGGAGCTGCAGCCTGTTACTGGTGAGCATGCCCCCTTCCACCATGCTCTGCCCAGGGCCTTGTGCTGGATTTTCCCCTTATTCTGAGCCACCGATATTGTGCTTAGGCTGAGGGTACAGCTGTCTTGTGTGACTCTGTTTCTGATGCAGATCTGAAATTAGGGTCCCTGTGGGGATGATTGTGGGGAGTAGAATAGATGAAATGGCCACTATGGATCCCACACTGCTGGATCTTGTGAGCCTCCTGCCTCAGCCTCCCAAGTGAGGCGAACACAGTTTAAATGGCTTTACTGAAAAACACACAAAGCGTTTCTTCAAAAAAAAAAAAAAAAACCCATTTCATCCAGCAATTCTATTTTTTAGTTCAAAACAAAACAAAAAACCAAAAGCTAAAACTAAAGACAGGCATTTGCATCCTGTGTTCATAGCAGTAACCCCGGATGGATGAATAGAGAAATGACATGGGATGGGTATGTGTGCACAAACAGTGTTATTTTTAGTCTTAGAAGAATGATGGAATTCTGCCGTATGCTACATGGATGAACCTTGAAAACATTATGCTAAGTGAAGTAAGCTACATATAAAGGGTAGATTCTGTATGGTTTATCTCACATGATGTACTTAGAGTAGTCACATTCATAGAGGAAATAGAATGATGCTTGCCAAAAACTAGTGGTGAGGGGAACCAGAGGGGAGGAATAGGCAGCCATTGTTTCAGTTGGTGGGTTTTAGATGGGAAGAATAGGAAATTTCTAGATGGGCAGTGTTGATGGTTGCAGACCAGTGTAACTGATGCTACTGAACTGTGTCTTTAAAGTGGCTCAAGTGAGAAATTTATATAGATAAATATATTTTAGAGAGAGAGAGAATTAAGAAATGTGGGATGCCAGGCAATGGCACATGCCTTTGATCCTAGCCTTTGGGAGACAGGAGCAAGCAGACCTCTGTGATTTCAAGGCTAGCCTGGTCTACAAGAACTAGTTCCAGACAGCCAGAACTACACAAAGAAACCCTGTTTCGAAAACACCCTCCCAAAAAAGAAAACTAGGGCTGGGTGTTTAGCTTAGTAGTAGAGTACTTGCCTAGCCTCCACAAGACCCTTAGTTCAATCCCTAATACTGCAAAAGAGAAAAAAAGAAAGAAATGTACAAAATAACAGTTTACCACCATATAGTAAAGTTATAAGAAGTTAGGGTAGTCATAGACATAAAGGTCATGGTGATGGCTGTCCAGAATAGGTATGTTTATTTCCCCAGCTGGCTGGTCCTGCGTAGCTTATAGTTTCCTCCATTCCTCCTCTTTGCATTTGGTGCTGCCAATTTACTCTGCTTTAATTTAGAATGTGTTGAAGCAGATGTCAGCATAGATTTGTTTCTATTGTTCCTCATACATATTTCTTTCCTTTTTCTCCTAAGGAATAAAACATCAGCTTCGGGTTCACCTGTCTTTTGGGTTGGATTGCCCGATCCTTGGTGATCATAAGTACTCAGACTGGAATAGGTTGGTCCCTCAGGTAAGACTGGTTGTATTAGTTTTCTGTGATAAAGCACCATGACCAAGGCAACTTATATATGAAAGAGTTTATTTTAGCTATTGTTGGAGAGGGATAAGAACCCATCATGGTGGGGAAGCATGGCAGCAGGAACTGGGTGCCGAGAGCTCTTATCTCAAATGTAAGCACAAAGCCTTAAGTTCCCAAAGCCTGCCCTCAGTAACACACTTCCCCTAGCACCACCTAAACTTCCCCAAATAGCACCATCAACTATCGATCAAAACTGAGTGTTCAAAAGCCCAACCCTTTGGAGGCACACTTTCAAACCAGCATTGGTTTAACTCTGTGTGCATTTAACAGGTAAGTGAGAGAATGCTTCACCACCACCACCACCACCACCACCACCCCACCCCCGTGTTTTGTGGTTTTGGAGATAATATTTATTGAGACAATAAACAAATGAATGGCCTCACCCTAATGTGTCAATGCCGGGAGTCCCCTTGGTCATTTTGAGACAGGGTCTCATTGTGTAGAGCCTAGAACTCCCCCCCCCCTTTTTTTTCTTTTGGGCCTTTGGGTTTTTTTTTTTTTTTTTTTTTTTTTTTATTAAAGATAAACCCCTTTGTAGGTCAGGCTGGCCTTTGAACTCATAGGGATCCACCTACTTCCACCTCCCCAGTGCTGGGATTAAAGGCGCGTGCCACCACTGCCTAACAAGGACTTCTTTCTTCCATTTGTTTCCAAGTAACAGTGAAGTTTACTAATAAGTGATTTTATTATAAATACAAATATGGGCATCAAGAGACAGGGAGAAACACATTTAAGAAGACATCCATTAGAGCAAGGGAGGGTTTTCAAGGAGAAATGTGACATTTAAGTATCTTAATAATAGCTTCTGAAATTACATTGTTCAAGAAGATTTAAAAAAAGATGTTTTGGTAAACTTACTATTTTTTTTTTTTTTAATTAAAACCCTGAAGTAGATCATAACAAAGTATTGCCACCAGACACGGGAACATACTTCTAACTGTTAGAGGCATCAGAGTAGTTGTTGTCTTCACGGAGCCACAGGATGTACTGGCAGAGCCTTAATGGTTCATTTGTTTGCTTTCAAATATTGTTGGGAGGCTGTGATAAGATAAAAGCTGCCTTTCCTGCTTTCTAAAGAACCTTGGAGAGTCTTTTTCATCAGCTGATAGTAGCATCCATTCTCTTAAAAGACCAGAAAATGTTCCAATAAGAGTTTCTCTGGTATGGTTGTGTTTTTCTTACCTAGGTTCTAAGGCCTTCCTAGACATGTCCCTGGAGCAGGCTAGGCATTACTGGGCTATGGGTTATAGCTTGCAGAGGTTAGTGTGGTCGCTAGTTAAAGGTCACTGGCCATGCCCTTAAGGTTTTGTCTTTTCTCTGTGTAGAAGCTTTCTGCTGGCACACTGAAGAAGCTGGGACTGCAGCAGACAAAGGCCCGCTACATCCCCCTTCACCTGCATGCCAGGCAGCTCATCCTGCCTGCTCTGGGAGCCAGAAGAGAGGAACTCCTCCTGGCCTGCAAGCTTCCTCACTTCTTTGCGAGTTCTCTGCGTCGTCTGGGTTTAGACATGCCAAATCAGGATCAAAGCAGAGGCAGTGAGGCCAGGCGTGTAGAAGCAAAGTGAAGACTATTGGCCAGGCTGGCCCCAGAGCTCTGCTGTATTTCATGGATTCTGTGATCTTCTCACTTGGAAGAGACTACAGAACCACCACCTGGCTAAGTTGAAGGAACTTGGCCACTTCAGGACTTTTAATGGAGAATGAAGTCGTATTTACTGTCAGTTTGGCTGTGATGTGGAAAAGCCTACTGAAAGTCTCTCCTTGATAGGTCTCTTCGCCAAGATGGAAGAGAGCCTAGGACCAGACAAAGTAAAGGAGAACCACAGGCTGGAATCTGTGGCCAGGAACTGTCTTCATCCAACAGGAAGAAAAGCTTCTGAGCAGTCAGGAGTGCTCCCTTAGAAAGAATGGCTTGGATAAATGTGTATCATGGGACCCAGGGATTTTGTCAACTAGAACATGGGTGCCGTACTGCCTTCGCATGAACCTGGGAGAGGGTTGTTCACCTGAGACAAATGATGGGCAGCTAACCTAAGAGAGTGAAGTTGGTAGGGTGGAAGGTAGTGGCTGGGTCAACAGACCAAGCACACAACAAACTGTCTAACAGCTCCAGCTGATTGTTGCCCTCTGGGCAAATTTTCCATTTTCTTTTAGAGAACCAGGAAAATCCAGATATTTCTGTGAAATCTCCCAACCTGTTACCAACTAAATAAAAACATTCTAATTTTTTTTGAGATTACAATTGCGTCATTTCCCTTTTCCTCTTATGCTTCCAGACCCTTCCATGTACCCTGCCCACTTTAACATTCATAGCCTCTTTTTCTTTAATTGTTGTGTGTGTGTTCCTAAATACATAAATACAACCTGCTAAGTCTATATAATGCTGTGTATATATGTTTTCAGGGTTGACCATTTGTGATGGGGAAGCCTTGTTAACCAATTATCTTTTAAGAGGTGGGACCAAGTTAGGGTGTGGCTTTCTGGGACCCAGGTTCTCTCTCTCTCTCTCTCTCTCTCTCTCTCTCTCTCTCTCTCTCTCTCTCTCTCCCTCGCACCCTCGCAGCACAGCTGAGCTTGGACTTCTTGTTCCTGTTTTGTGAGTTTTCCCCTTATAATAAATACAAATATAATCGTTTCATCTTTTAGCTAGTCTAATTATTTCCCAAATTGAGCTAACTTCTACACATTTGGTACTGGATAACCAGTTGGTGTGTTCTTCCCACTGTTTCTCCCAATCTCAGCATTCCTTAGGTGCTCATAGTTCTTTGTGTAGGGTTAAAGCCTCGTGAGCTTTCTCTCTTCCACATTTGCACGTCCACTGGTGTCATCCTTGTGTAGGTCATGCTTAGGCACCCACAGTGGTAAACCCTCAACGATGTAGTTTCTGGCATTTCTAAGAGACATGATCTCATAGCAAACCCCCTGACCCTCTTGCCTTTACAGTCTTCCCTCCCCATTCCACAGTAATCCCTGGCCCTTAGAAGTTGGAGTTGTGTTGTAGACATTATTAGTTGGAACTGGCGCCACCACTCTATTCTGATTGGTTGTGGTTTTCTGTAATGATTTTCATCTAGAAGTTTCCTTGACGAAGGGTAAGAACACTTACCTGTGGGTATAAGGGCAAATGCTTAGAATGTAGTTAGGGACTATGCTGCTTTAGTAAAGTGGCTACACAAATATCGAAGATAGTAAGGCTGGGAAAAGGCACAAGCGAAGTGCTTGCTGTGCCAACGTGCAACCCTGAGTTTGATCTCCAGCGTCCATGTAAGTGCCAGGCACAGTAGCATACCCAGTGCTGAGAAGGCAGAGCTGGATCCCTGGGGCTGGCTGGTCAGGCAGTTCAAATTATCAAGTTCCAGATTCAGTGAGGTACCCTTTCTCAAAATGTGGAGCATGGCTGAGGAAGACCGTGTCACTGTCCGGCCTTCACATGAAGATGCACCTGCATGTATATACACATGCATAGATGCACAGATACACGCATTCACCAGCATGCACACATGGCACATGCAGGCAGCCAAGCCCATATTTGCAGGTTGAATTTGGTTTTTAGATTACTAGTTTGGATCTGTTTAAATGAGTGATTTGGAAGTTTAGGGAGAGACATCTTGAGAGTTGTGATTGACATTTCTGCTGCATGCAATGCTTGGCTTTCTCGCCGAGGGATGGCTCTGGTTACTTGACTGTGCTTATAAGGGTGCTGCTTTCAATAAGTCCTTGGTTTGGAAACAAAGGAGATGGCCATGCTGAGCACCCTAGAGATGGAAATTTCATTGGCCTCCCTGTCAGTTGGTATATCCAACTCTTTTTTTTTTTTTTTTTTGGTATATCCAACTCTTATCTTGGTCTTTAAACAATCTTTTACACCAGTGTTTCTCAACCTGTAGGTTGCAACCCCCTTGCGGGGGTGGGGGGGGTCAGCCCTTGGGTAGGGATCACCTAAGAACATTGGAAAACAAATATGATTCATAACAGTAGCAAAATTACAGTTACGAAGTAGCAACGGAAATAATTTACAGTTGGGGCCACCACAACGTGAGGGACTGTATAAAAGGTCTGCAGCATTAGGGAGATTGAGAACCACTGTTTGACACAGATGTACCTCATAACTGCGTCTGGGCTGAGCTGAAGAATGTTGGAGTGACAGCCTCCAGGACAGCTCTTATGTGCCCTCTCTACGGAGTAGCCCAACCTTAGCTGTGGTTTCTTCCCCCACGGTTTTAGTTACCTATGTGTTACTGTAGTCCAAACAGATTAGGTAGAAATTTTTAGAAGTAAACAATCGGCGAGTTTTATGCTATCCATCATTCTGAATAGTGTGATGGACTCTCAGCACCCTGCTCATGCTGCCTGGGTGGCGGGTGTTTCCTCTGCCATCGTGTTGTTGTGTAGACTACCACTCCCCAGTAGTCACTTTAGCCACCTAGGAGCTGGGGTGTCAGATTTTATCAGACCAGTCATGTCTGTCATAGAGTTTGTCAAGTAACAGTTTAGAAAGATCGCATTCACTTGTTTTTATTATATTATACTATAATTGTTTTTATTAATTTCTTACTGTGCCTGGTTTACAAATTAAACTCAGTCACAGATATGCAAAGAAAAACAGGGTTTTGTAGGGTTTGGTCGCATCTATGCTTTCTTTCTATTTAACATTAAAAAATCCTGAAACTGGGAGTGGTAGAGCACACCCTAAACCCCAGCTCTCAGGAGGTGGAGGCTGGCGGATCTGTGATCTCCATAGTGAGCTCCAGGATACCTGAGGGTGCATAGACCCTGTTTCAAAAACACAGGCAAACAAAAGAAAAATTGTGAGTGTGTATGCACGTGTGTGCGCCACAGCACATGTGTGGAGGTCAGAGGACCACGTAGGGGGGTCAGTTCTCTCCTTCTACTGTTTGGGATCTGGGAGCTGAATTCACGTTGTCAGACTTCGTGGCAAGCATCCTTACTTAGCGAGACATCTCATTGGCCCCAATGTCTGTGATTTTGAGCATCCACTGAGAGTCTTGGAATATATCTTTCAGGGACAGAGGAATTCTGGAATGAATATGCAATTTTTTCACCCCCTTCCCTGTTCTCTTGCTACCGATTACTCTGCACAGTAAATGTAATAGCCCACCTGGGAGAAGTGACTATCTTCCGTTAGTCACTTAGATATTTTGTGTATTTTTTCCCGTGTTTAGCACACTGTGTTTCTTAAGATAAAGTGATAAGAATGACACTTGGGAACTACTGATGACTGCTTTGAGGAATTAGTTGAACAGGAATGCCCTTAAAATGGAAACCTGCAGAAAAGAGCAGGTGATAGAAATAAAAAGTTCATTGGAAAGGAAAGAGGGAGTGAGTACTTGGGGCATGCGAGAAAAAAAATGACCGGATTTGTGTCCTTGTTTATCTTGGTGCCTCCTCAGTGAGGACCTCACCCTTCAGTTTGGCAAACTGAATAATTAGTAGGCTCAGAGCACCTGGACTGTTCACAGTTCTCAGGAACTTTCCCGAGAAATGAGAAAATGTGATTAGCTCCCTCATGTCCAAACAAGGGAGGGCCAGGAAGATTGTTCCCTAGGCTCTGGCACAACCTCAGACTGGTCTGAGAACTAAGCTTCATTGTCTAACCTGCTCAGTATCACCATAAAATGCTATACTGCTATTTTCTGTCAGCTTTCAAAAATTAATCTTGGATTTTTTTTTTTTTTGGTTTGGTTTTCCAAGACAGGATTTCTCTGTGTAGCCCTAGATGTCATAGAACTTGTTCTGTAGACCAGGCTGGCCTCAAACTCAGAGATCTGCCTGCCTCTGCCTCTCAAGTGCTGAGATTAAAGGCGTGGGCCACCATACCTGGCAATTTAATTTTTTGATACAAAGTCTCACTGTATAGCCATGGCTGATGTTGAACTCATGGACTTTCTCCTCAGCCTCCTGAGTGCTGGGATTAAAGGTGTGTGCACCTACTCCCTGGCCTCCATGGCTAACTAGTGCGGCTAGCTCTACACTCTGATCTTCAGTCTATTTGTTAAAGCACAAGCAAAATATCACCACGTCTTATAGTATTTAAGATATACTATTAAGAAGTATCCTTTAAAATTAGCATTTAAACATACTATAAGAAATACCAACTATCGGATGATACAGTCCATTTGTAATTATTAACACCCAAGCATTAGCAGAAAGGAAGCCATTGCTGACCAGCCCCTAACACAGGAAAGGATTGTTTTCTTAGCGTTTCTACTACCGCAATGAACACCATAACCAAAAAGCAGGTTGGGGAGGAAAGGGTTTATTTGGCTTACACTTCCCCATTGCTATTTAGCATTGAAGGAAGTCAGGACAGGAACTCAGACAGCTACAGGAACCTGGAGGCAGGAGCTGATGCAGAGGCCATGAAGGAGTGGTGCTTACTGGCTTGTTCCCCATGGCTTGTTCTTTCTTATAGAACCCAGAACCACCAGCCCACAGGTGGCCCTATCCACAATGGACAGGGCCTTCCCACTGATCACTAACTAATTAAGAAAATGCCTTACAGCCAGATCCTATGAAGGCATTTTCTCATTGAGGTTCCCTCCTTTCAGATGACTCTAGTGTGTGTCAAGTTGACAGAAGACCAGCCAGCACATCTACATTCAGAGTGTGGCAGTGACTTACAGGTCAGGGTGTAGTTTCAGGAATTCCAGGGGCCATCTGGTGTGAGAATGTACTCTGCTTTGAATGTGTGGGGAAGATAAGATATAGTCTTATTTGCTTATCAGGCCATCGGGCAAAGGACATTTCTATAGTGCTGAATCCCACAGAAGTTGGACTTGGAACCTGATGGAGTAGTTTGAAGGGACCCCTGGATGCCAAAGGCTGCAAACTGGCAAGGTGCGTGAGATACCAGGAGGAGTCCACAGACATTCTCTGCAAAGGACCAGGTAGCAAATATTCCAGACCTGGCAGGTCATACAAGTCGTTGTACCAACTGCTTGATTGTTCTGACAAGGAAACCAACACCAGACAAAATGTAAATCAATGGGCGAGGTTGTGCTCTAATAAAATTTTATTAGTGGACTCTGGAATATGAAAGTAACATAATATTCAATTACGTGTCACTAAGTATACTACCTCAAGCTGCCATTGCAAAATACCACAGATAGATGGATTCAGTAGCCCACAGTTCTAGAGGCTACAAATCCAAGATCCAGGTATAGGCAGGTCTGGTTTCCCTTTGGTCTTCGTCTCCTGCCTTGACAGCTGACTG